CCTCCCCTTCCCCCTCCCCTCCCTCTCTCCCTCTCCCTCTCCCTCTCCCTCTCCTCTCCTCTCCTCTCAGACCAAGATGTGAGCTCTCAACCTCCTGCCACCACACATTTTCTCTGCCATCATGGACTCTAACCCTCTGAAACTGTAAAACAAATTTAATGCTTTCCTTTAGAATCTACCTTGGTCATGGTGTTCTTCACAGAATAGAAAACATAGGCAGATATACAACCTCATCTGTTTTTGTGGTTTGCATCACAGTGGCCTAACAAGAACACTAGTATCAATATTTTCTGTTTTGAGGGTATAGGAAATCCAGATTGGTGACTAATTTTCAAACCTCCCAGTAGTGAAAACTGGTAGCATTCAGCCTCTATTAGCTCATAAACTAATGAGCTAATTTTAAATTCTCTAAGGGGAAGAGTGTGTTATCTGGACAATCTGCTTAAAAGCAGCCTGCTTCTCAGTTTAGAGGCCTTGGACTCCCCTAAAGGTCAGAAGAGATGACTGAAATTGTCCCTGAGAGCCAAGAATACAGAGAAGCTAGTGTGGCCTGATTTCTTACGTGCCACTGGGTGTCACTAGTAGACTAAAGTTTGAAACACTGGAGAAGAGCAACCACAAAACCTGGAGATGGGGAAAAAATAAACCATTTCTGAGAAGAAAAGTAGGAAGTGTCCCAAGATGGTCACAGGCAGCACTTAGAGGGAGCAGTAGGCGTGATTCTACTCAGCTGCAAAGACTTCTACATAGAATTAAGGACTCTGACCTAATAAATAGGATGGATGCATACATGATTTTGTTTATTCATGTGTGTGCACCTGGGAAATAGAGAGAGGTGATTTATTCACTATCTATTACAGCTTTCCAAGCATTTAATATCAAATGACTGACTACATTACTACTTTGAGAAAGATAAAAGAAAAATTTCTCTTTCATTCTGTATATGTGCTTAATGGAGTGTTGAGTTGGAAACAGATTAAGGCCAATGGGTATAAAATATTTATTCCTTTAAAAAGTGTCAGATTTTGGCTGAAGCTCAGTGGTTAAGAGTGCTCATTGCTCTTCTAGAGGACCTGGGTTCAATTTCCAGCACCCACATGGCAGCTCACAACTGTCTGTACCTATAGTCCCAAGTGGTTAAATGCCTTCCTCTGGCCTCCTCATGTGTAGCAGACACATTTGTGGTGCACAGACATACATGTAGGCAAAATACTCATACACAAAAAATAAACAAAAAATTAAATATCAGGTTATGCTAAGCAAACGAAAAGTTCATTTCTAATTGAAACCCCAATTTAACCATTTGGTGACACAAGCTGGACACTATTAATGTGCTCCATGTTTCAAAAATATAATTTGGGACACAGGCTGGAGAGATCGTGAACCTGTTAGAACTTAGTGCTCTTGCAGAAGACTCAAGTTCAGTTCCAAGCACACACATGGTGGCTTAAAACCACTTGTAATTTCAGTTTCTGTGGCTCCAATGCCATCTTCTGATTTCTCAGGGTTCCAACATGCATGTGGTGCACAAAAAAACACCCAGGCTCCAACATGCATGTGGTGCACATATAGACACAACACACTTAAGATAAATATTTTAAAAATCAAAACAGTAGATAATGCAAATATTAATTTCAGTTTTTATTATGACTTTACAAGTGATATATCAAAACTAGATAATTATCCTGTGTTTGGTCAGTGAACCAAATGGTGAGAAGGAACATTGATCTATAAAATATTACTGGTCATTCTAAAATTATATAGTGAACAGAATAATATCAGGGGAATTAATATTGAGCTATTCTTCTGAGTATCTCTGTGTTTCATTTATTGAGGCCTATTTTTAAAATATTTATAAGCCAAACATGGCGGCACACCTGTAGGTGATGTGATTTGAAAGAATCACTTGAGCTTACAATTTTGAGACCAATCTGGACAACATAACAAAACTTTGTCGTAAAAGAAAAAAATCTATGCAATATACTGGGGTAAATGAACAAGACTCCCAAGTTTCAGGTTCCCCATCCTTTGGGACACTATGTTAGTATGTTAAGTACAAGTTATCGTGTTCAACCTTGGGTTTTCAGCAGAATCATTTTGGAAGTGAAAATATATTGGATCCCTTCCCTTAAGATTTTACTTCATTGATCTGGAGTGCGGACTGTGCACAAGATTTTTTTTTTAATTCCTAGATATATCTAAAGCTTAGCCAAGGTTATGAGCTATTGCATCAAAGGATCATTGATTTTTAAGTCTTTAATTATTCTTTGTGAGTGGGCACATGCACTCTACAGCCTGCCTTTGTGGAGGCCAGAGTAAAGCTCTGTGGACTCAGTTCTTTGATCATTACACAGGTTCTGGTGATGTGATTTGAAAGAATCACTTGAACTCACAAATTTGAGGCCAGCCTGGACAACATAGCAACACTAGAACTCTGGTTGACAGGCTTGCAAGCGCCCTTACTCCATGGACCATCACGCTGGCTTTTTTTTTTAAGGGGGTCTCTGTGCTGCCCAACACTGGGGTTCAAGTGATCGACCTCAGCCCCACAGTAGCAGGCTCTACAAGCGCTTGCCACGGGCCGGTTTACAGAGAACATTTGAAAACCTGTCATCCATTTAGCTTCCACCTCTGAGCATAAATATGAGGAATTCTTACTGTGTTGCTTTTAGTTAGTATAAGTAAATGCAAAAAGAAAATGGGCAGTTAAAAATTGGAAGCGAAAATACACCATCTCCCCTTAAAATCATTAACACCTGCATATCTGTATCACAAGCAATAACTTATTTGTACTAAAGAGAGCATATTACACATGGGCACCTATATGTTGTGTCTTTCAGTGTACAGCATGTAATTGGACCTTTCAGTGTACGGTATATGGCTGTCAAGTGTTCCTGTGTTCGTATTGTATTTTATCCAATCATTGCCTGAACTGAAGGTCACTCTACTGATTCTTTCGTTGCTATACACAATCCTATACAAGGATTACATGCGTCCTGAGGCTTCTGCCAATATTTTTCTACAAGGTACGTTCTTAGGCATGAGATTGATGAGTGCATTTAAAATATGGATAAATTTAGCGTGAGACCAATAATCGTCTTTAAAAAAAAAAAAAGAATCGACGTCCCTCATGCTGGAAGAGCAGGGTAGGCTGGCTGTCACCGTGAAATCCACTCACAGCCGGCCAGAGCTGGAGAGGTAATGCCGGAGGCGCGGCTGACGCCCGGGAACCAGCACTTCCGGGCACGTGGCGCTCGCCCCGCCCCTCGGAGACGCTGCTCGGGTGACGCACGGCCGCCGCGCTGGGGGGGCGGGGCGAGGGCCCCAGCCCCGGAAGCTGGGTTCTCGCGGTGCGGGGATGGGTGCGGGGCGGAGCTTCCCGCGCGCTGCTTCCGGTCTGGCCGGGCCCGGGCCTGGGCCTGGACTTCCTGCGGCGGGGGCGGCCCTGAGCCGGATCCTGTAGTCCTGGGCGCTGCAGTTCCGTAGGCGCTTCGCTCCGGAAAGGGCGTCCGTGAACTCCTCACCCTGACAGCTGGGCCGCGGCCGCCTTTACACACGCCCTCCCCGTACTGGTGCGCCGTCGGCTAGGAAAGCGAACCCGGAAGGCCCCGACGCCCCGCGTGCCCTCCCGGGATGGCCGCGGGCACTGCTTCTGGCCGCGCCGCGTCCCGTGCGCCGCCCCGTCGAGCCGCTGCAGCCTGTCTTCTGAGCTGTTAGGACAGCTGGTGTCGGAGCTGCAGAGCCCTTCGGGGGCAGCCGGAGGGGCGTTTCCCGTGGTTGCGCCTAGCTGTAAATAGCAGAGCTGTGTTAAAGCAGTTTTCGTCCCCACACCCTATGATGACAGCCTCTTAGGCAGCACAGCCCCAAATCAGGCGTATTCCGGGGAGTCAGACCCAGGTGAACCTTCTCATCAAATACCAGACGCTGGCGGTAATCTGCTCAGCTGCATGACTTCATTAAATTGGGCAAGTGTTCTACTTTAAATATTTGTGGACACAATCTTGGATATTAGCGTTCCTAGATTTAAATTCGGACCTATCTTTCCTGATATCGTATGCACCGCCAATAAGAAGATCTATACATTTTTGCTGAACGGCTTTTGTGGCTTTCAAGATGATTTTTCTTTCAGGCCACATTTTTTATAAATCGCTGACTGCTAATTACACGAAAGTAATGCCAAACAGCATATTCATGAATCCTCAGTTTTGTGAGGAGTAATGAACCTTCACGTCAGAGTGTTTAAGCAAGTAGTCACTCACCAAATATAGCTGGTCTTATGTATTTATTGTCATCCAAACTGATATAAAACTGGCCAAAGCATTCCCCCTCCCTGAGCCTAAAAGCAAGTGTGTCACCCTGGAGATAAGCATTGGGGTAGTGTGTGGGCTTTAGAGTGCCTTAGTCATTGCTTAAGAGGAGTGACACGTGAGTACCTTTACTTTTCGACTTTTGTGTTCAGTACATGTATACTTGAATGAATTATCTAAATTAGAAAGGTATCTAAAACTGACAGGCACATCCACTTAGCTAATGTGTAGTTTTATTTTTAGAAGTCTCACTTTTAGAAACCTAATTTTAGAAATCAATAACAACAACAAAAACACCACTTTTCAAAAAGAGAACTGTGGAACAGAACTGAATTTTTTAAAGAAGGAAATTATCTATTGCTCAAATTGGGTAATTGTCTAACTTTTCACTTTCTTTTATTTAGGTAAGGGAATCTGTTATCTTTGCTCTATTGTACACATGGTGACTGGTTAACAATATATTGTATTCTTGAAAAAGTTTAAGTGCGTGGAAAATGTTTTCATCACAACATGTTAATTATGTGTGGTAACTCATTTATTAATTAGCTGGATTTAGTCATTCCACATGTATGTGTACTTCAAAACATCATGCAGACTAAATACATACAATTTTATCTGTCAGTGTAAAAAAGCTACACTTTTAAAAAGTCTACTTTTCTAAAATAGAGGAAATATGTAGGCATATGTAGGCGTTCATGAATAGTTTATCAGGGTAACAAAATTTAAATTCTTAAAGGTGAACACATGGACTCATTGTCTAAATGGACTATGATATTCACAGTATTTAATTAAGAACAATATGAGTATTAATTTTAAATAATTATCACATCATAAATAGTACCGTGTATGATGCATAAAGAACACTATTATTTGAAAGATAATACTTTCCTAAGCTTATGCAAGACTATAATCATAATTCTCTGAAACTGTTATCCCTTAGACAGAGCTCTCTCCCTCTGTTTCTTATCAGCCACTTCAAAGTGCACTACAGTGTTTTGTTTTGTTTTTTTGGTTGGAGTCACCTTGTCAATGTTCCATGCTCAAACACCGAAATTTGAGGGAGGCTTTTATTTGCTTTTATTTGTTTGCTTGTCAGGAGAGGTTAACTTGTAGAGTTAGTCTACATTTATTGCATTTTGCTATTTTTTTGTTGGGGGTGGCTAACTTCTTACCTAGTGCTAAGGTTTGAAACAAGATGTACAAAATTCTCAAACAGCTAATTCTTGATCTATGTGCAGGTAAATGCTCTAAAGATATAAAACTCTGTTTTTCATGAGTTTGCAACAAAGTAGTATTCGACTTAAACACTAGAAAGAATAACTTTAAATAGAAAAACTAACAACATTTTTTGAGGCTTTAAGAACACTTTTCTTATCCTCTTGCTTTTCTCTGTAAGTTTACACTATAAGCATGTATTCACCGAGGCTGGAGAGATGGCTCAGCAGTTAAGAGTGGTTGCTGCTCTTCCAGAGGATCCGAACTCAATTCCCAAGAGCTCCATGGTGACTTAAAACTGTCTGTAACTCCAGTTCTGGGTACCAGACGCCATTTTACAGCCTCCTAGGCCACTGACATACACATGGTTTGCAGACATACATGCAGGCATGTAGTAGAACATTATTTTAAGGTGTGTTACTTTTGCTTATGTTACATTTGTTCAACTGTGCAGCTGTGTTACTGTGCCTGTCTAAAACACCTGAATGTCCAGTGGTGAGGCAGAAAGGATAGGCCGGGCTAGCAAGCAGAGAGAATATATAGAAGAAGGAATCTGGGAGATTGAGAGTTAGGAGCCAGGGAAGGAGGAGGACTCCAGGGGCCAGCCACCCAGCTACACAGCAAGCCAGGGAGAAAGAGTAAAATACAGAAGTAAGAGAACAAGAACGAGTGAAAGATAGGTGGGATAAGTTAAGAAAAGCTGGCAAGAAACAAGCCAAGCTAAGGCCAGGTACTTTAAGTAATAAGCCTCTGTGTGTGAATTTATTGGGAGCTGGGTGGTGGGTCCCCCCAAAAAAGAGTAAAAAACACAATAACTCAGGCAAAATATGAAAATAACATAAAATAATAATGAAAATTCTTACAAAGCATGTATTCATGAATAACATGTTATTTGGTTTTCTTTGCTTTTGCACATGATTTAAAAAATGAAAGCTTCCTTTCTACATTAGAGTAGCATTCCATTGAATGAGTATACAAATTATTCATCCTGCTACAAATGGGCTATGTTGTTTCTTATCTTTTGCTGGTGTGGTCATCCTTCTGACGTGCCTCAAGTGGGATATTGGATCATGACTGTTCAGCTTTGGTGAGACCAAGCTGCATCGGCATTAGCATATGTCATCACTAGTGGTTATGCCATATTCTTGCCAATATTCCAGCTTGGGCTTTGCATCGCATTTTATTTTCCTGATGAGGTTAAGCTTCTTTACATGTGACTATTGGCCACTTGGAATTCCTTATGTGTGAACTGTTTGGTCATGTCTTCTGTCCATTTTTCTTTGCTTATTTGGCATTTACTTACTGTCCATAGGGATTCTTCATATATTCACATCTTACTTTGAGGGGTACATTTGTTGCAAATTTAATGTATTTCTTTACCCCTTTTCAACCCATTTCCCTTTCCTCTACTGTTTCTTGCTTTCTTATGATTTGGTTCCTTTGTGCTCTTTCCATGAAATCTGATAAGGCTGCATGTCCAGCTCTGAAGGCAAATGCTCCCACTAGCAATCTTGTATTTGACCAAATCAAGCAAAACCAGATGGACATGAGACATATTATTCCAGCTTCCTGTCAGCCATAAACAACTTAGAAAAAATTATTGTGATGGTCTCCTTTACCTTCTTATTTCCTCTAAGATAAGGTCTCAACTCTAGAGCCCTGGCTGGTCTGAAACTCACTATGTAGACGAGGCTAGCCTTGAACTCACAGAAAACTGCCTGCCTGTGCCTTATGAATGCTGGGATTAAAGATGTGTGCCACCAAGCTGGCCCCTTGCTTTTTTGGTTAAAATTGTTTTTGCTATTTTATTGTGGGATAATTTAAAAACACAGCATATAGCTCAGTTTTTCCAGTAACGGTAAAGTGCCAAGTTTAGCCCCACCCTCACTCCCAGGTGAGGTAGAACTTGAGGCAGGGGCTAGTGAGCGAATGCTTTATCACTGAGCTGCATCCCAGCCCAACTAGGTCATTTAGAGTAGGGGTTGACTGCAGATTCCAGAGTCGTTTCCTAAACTTAATCTGTGTAAAGTGTGTACATTGAGGGAAAGCTCTTGCTTCTCCTGTCACTGCACACACGTCTGCCTCCACACATGTAGGTTTGGGAGCCCAGGTGTGGGATGCTATCCCGTGTCCTACCTTCCGCCTCGGTTAGTGCCTGCTTTGTTTTAGTAGCCCGTAAATCTCCTTTTGTAAAGCTCACTCCTAATAAACTCGGTGGAGATTTTATTCCTAAGTTTTCTGTTTTTATACACTTGCTTTTAAAATGAGTCATATTTTTCCCTCTTAATGTTGTAAGGTTTATGGGTCGGAGTCATTTAATCTAGGTCCAACTTCTTTAAACAAGTTGGATATGTGGATACATATATGTAAAATGTTAACCTCAGGCTGAAATGGATCCAATATGGTAGCTTCCTGTTTGGTCAAGTAAAGGTGTGTTAACACCTTATGAATGTGGCAGTATCAGTGTAGTTTAGAAAGTAGACTGAGGGTCATCTCCCTATAATTGGAGTATTTGAAGTTGATATGTGATTCATAGTATTTTCAAATGTAGACAACTGTATGTTTTTATTACTAAGAGTATTTCACAGTACACCTACTATGCTTAACAGCAGTTGAGTTTCTACTGACAGTGTGGGACATCATTTTTATTCACTTCATTTCCTTTTTCATATATGTTATGAATTTTGCACAGGTGGGAACCCCCAGCTAGCCAGGCCAGGGTACCCACCACACATGAGGGAAATCATCCTGGGCAGGTGTAGCGGGGGTGATGGCGTATGGAAAGTCATTCACACCCAGGCACTGCATCCATGTGGGGAGTTTATTATAATAGAGAGATGAAGAGAAGGATAGGAAAGAGGGAGACAAGAAAGAAAGAGAAGGGAGAGAAAGCAGAGGTGTGTACACCTTGTGGGAATGGAGAGAGAGAGAGAGGGAGAGTTTTTCCTTAAAACGCAGGGCAGCCCGAAAGGACAGGTTTTCAAGGGGTGGGTCAAAATATTAACAATATATAATTCTTTATCTTGCATAAGGCAGAATTATAAGCCTCACACTCTGATAAGAAATTCATACAACTGTAAAATTGTTAAGGTGTAATTGAAAGAGGCTAAAGCAGTGGCTTAGAGATTTAAGAGCACTGGCTGTTCTTCTAGAGGACCCAGGTTCAATTTTTAGCACCCACATGTCAGCATACAGTCCTCTGTACCTCCAGTTTCTGGGGGATCTGATGATGTCTTCTGGTCTCCTCAGGCACCAGCCAAGCATGAACATGTGGTACACAGACACACATGCAGGCAGAATACCCATACACATAAAATAAGTTTTTAAAAGAGGGAACCAAAGAGAGAGAGAAAGAGAGAGAGAATCTTAGTAAAACCTAGGATTGCTACAAACCTTTAGAGTTATTTCCTTTTGATTTGGAAGGCTATGTCTGACATAAACACCTATTGAGATCTTTTAAGATCCCCAGGCCTGCATAGACCTGTGTTATTAGCACTAGGGAGAGGGAGGCAGGAAGACTGGGAATGCAAGGACAGCCCGAGCTACACGAGACCTGTCTCAGAAACGTGTGTCTTGTAAACATCTGCTGAATGTCGCACAGTGTTATAGAGTGGGTAGTCTTGAGAACTGATCAGACATGTAGCCATGAGACTGTCTTTAGGAGTAATGTTGAGTGATTTTCTTAGTCCTGATTTCTTTCTTTACCTTTTAATTTCTACATTTGGCCCAAAGAGTGAATACAAGACAAAACTTCAAAGTATAGGCAAAAGAGGGTTGTGATGGTTATATTGTGGATATAAGCTTTTACTTAGTTGATAACCATAACCAATATTTGGATTTTTAGGAGAGTTGAGGTGTAAATAATTGGTCAGTTTACATAAAGGGAGCGGAGTAGTCTGAGCTTTTGCTAACAACATTTTAGGACAGAACAGTTTCCTGGGAAGCCCCAGTTTTTTCATGTATAATGTAGTGATCTTACCTCATTGGCTGCCTTTATTTTTCTCTGACTATTACCTACCTGCAATTTGAGGTAGATGATAGAGTAGAGAAGAATGATTAGTTTTGTTTGATTAGCAGTCACTGAGTGCTGTGCTGGTCTTGCCTCTTCGCATCTTCCCCTTGTCCTCTGAATGGGACATGTTTTAGGGATTGGTTTAGACTGTTACTTTTCTCTCCCACATCAGAACACTCTGGCCAAGTCACCTAGCTCTGGTGCCTATCTTAACAGCTTTCTGTTCTGTGTCTTCCTGCCTGTTCTGTTACCATCCGTCTTCCAGAGCCTGGAGCACTGTTAAAGGGGACTGTAAAACCTCCTTGCTTCACGTCAGTCAGTGACTCCCAGTGCCCCTGGACCAGCTCCCTCCCCTGTGCTATACAGCTGACTTCACCTCCCAGCAAGTGTTACCCAGTCTTGCTTGTGATTTTTCCAGGGTTTTGTTGTAGTTGTTGTTGTTCCTCAAATCAGCTAAGCTTTCCCTCAGACTTTCACTCTTTCTTCAGTATGGAACTCTCTTCCACCAATGCTTCACATATCTGACTCATCGGGTTTCAGTTTGATTATCTCAGTTACTCTACAGTCTGTTCTTTGCAAAATTTCTTTACCCTGTCACCAAGTTTGATGTTAATCTTGCCATGTAGAACACAGTCCTTGAGAGGGCAGAAAGCTTCCATGTCCTAATTCCTGAAATGCCAGTCACATAGTCATTGATCAGAAAGCATTCAAAAAAGGATCTTCTCTAACAAGGAGAAAACTCGAAGGAGAATCTGAAGATAACTTCATTTGTAACTCTGGTGGCATTTAAAGATGACCACTAAAGTCATTCCTTAAGAAGCTTCTCTGTCAGTGTTGTAAACAGCTGTGATTAGATGTTACCATGACACTTTAACCTCTGTCATCTGTCATAAGTCCTTAATTTTGTCACACAATAAAGGAATTGAAGTAGCTCTGCTCCAAGAAATAGTTCAGGTACCTACAGGACCCCATACCTTAACATCTTCTGTTAGAGGATGAGCTTGCTTTGTGAAGTCACAGAAGGTTCCTGAAACCTAGAAGCGTCGTGATGGTTCTCACATAGAATCAATCAAATATGACTATAGTCGTCATGTATACACAAGCCACTGAATCACTTTACAGTAAAAAGACAATGCCTGTTCTAAGAAAAAAAAATACATAACCTTCAGTCCTCTTGTATCAGTTCCCCTTGATTAAAGGGAAAAATAAAAATCATCTTCATGTCTGTCAAAATGGAAAAACTCTATTCACACCTCTCACTTGCACTGGTGGGGTAAACAAAAGTTGACTATGTGTTCCATGAACTTCAAGTGAGCCACCTCAGCAGGGCACCCAAGAATCCCCGGACTCCAACAGACGAGAACAACTGGCTGCTCTTCAGTATTGCATTTGATAGGGAATGAAAGGACAGTGATTCTATGCCCCTGCTCTGAAATTTCCATCATAAGAACTGAAAATAACCCTGTCTTCCCTGACAGTGGGGAGCTTTTCTTGGTTTGGCAGTGTTGGGTTAGATCAAACTTTGATCTAGTATTTACAAATGTTCTGTTGTTGTGGAATATTAGTTGAAGATGTGTTACATTTGTTTATGCTGTGGAACATTTGTTTAATGATGCAAAGATGTGTTGTATTCTTTTGTGTTGCACTTGACTCTGTGGAGCTGTGTTACTTTGCCTGTCTAAAATCCTGGATTGGTCTAATAAAGAGCTGAATGGTAGTAGCTAGGCAGGAGAAAGGATAGGTGGAGCTGGCAGGGAGAGAATAAATGGGAGGAGAAATCTGGGAAGAGAAGATCAAGGAGCAAGAGAAGAAGGGGAGGAGGACTCCAGGGGCCAGCCACCTAGCTACACAGCAAGCCATGGAGTAAGAAGTAAAGATATGTCTATAGAATAAAGAAGGATAAAAGCCTAGAGGCAAAAGGCTAATTTAAGAAAAGCTGGCTAGAAATAAGCCAAGCCAAGGCTGGGCATTCATAAGTAACAAGACTCAGTGTAATTATTTAGGAGCTGGGTGGCAAAGACCAAAAGAGTACAAAGAGCAAAGAATTAAAAAAAAAAAAAAATCCTATACAGCTATAGAAAAAAGCATTCATTAGTTTCAAAAACTACTTCAGTGTTTTTCTCCTTCCTTCCTCTCCCTCCCTTCCTCTTCTCACATCCCTTCCTCTCCTCTTTTCTTCCTTCTCTCCTCACTAAATAGCATGGACCCTGAACTCTCTGAACAAGACGACGAGAAGAAGTACACTTCTGTCTGTGTTGGCAGAGAAGATGACATTAGAAAGTTGGAAAGAATGACAGCTGTTGTCCATGACAGAGAAGTGGTCATTTTCTACCACAAAGGGGAATATCATGCTATGGACATTCGTTGCTACCGTAAGATTTCTTTTCATTTTTAGAATCTGTACTTGTTCATCACAAAACTATCAAAATTCAGTTTAGTGATTAGATATAATATCATTTCCTTTTCAGATTCTGGAGGACCCTTACACTTGGGAGAAATTGAGGTATGTAAAATTAAATTTACTTTAAGCAAATTCAGATATTTCCTATATTTTTATTATTTTATTCTTTATTCAAAGATTAATAATTTATATTTAATTCCACTTTAGTACTTTGAAGATGGTTGCCACTATCCTTACCTATTCATACCCTATAATACAAAGAAAACCATTTTCCAGATAAATCATAAAGAGTATGAATGTCTTTTGAACTAGCAAATATTCTGGGATATCTACCCTGTGAATATACTTGAACAAATGTAAATACAGGAAAATTTAAGACCACCTCATTAAATACATTATAACAGCCATGCTGTGGAACATTATGCACCCAGTAAAATAAATTATGCAGGCCTATCCGTGCTGGTATTGAGGGATATTAACAATGTGCTTTTGAGTATTAAGAGCAAATAGAGTAGTTCCAATGAGATTGAAATTCTAACAGAGTCACTTTTTATTGCTATATTGTATGCTTTGAATTTTATGAGTATATATTTTCAATATAATAAAAGTGTTTCTAAATGTTTGAGAGAAAACACATTTAAAAATCTTACCTGAAGAATTTGGGGGAATTGCCTTTGCTTTCTTGTGCTCCAAAACAAGTTGTCTAATTTCTGTCTCTGTTTGTTTATTTTGTTTGTCTAACTGCTGCAAAATACAAGCCTGAGCTTCACTCTTTGCACACGTGTTATTTGCCTGCTAACCATATCTGTTCCTGTTCCGTATGTTAAAGGGCATGTGTTTAAGTTATGAAAATGTGACTGTTTGCTAATACCTGTATGGGAATCCAAGTTAGCGTTTCTGTTTCTGGTGTACAGGCTGAAAGCACCCGTTGATGAGAATGCTATAGCATTGTCTCTCGTGTTTCAGCCCATAAAGAATGTGCTGCTCAACGTGTAAGCCACAGCCCAGCAGCACTCTTGGCATAGTGGAGACATGCAGAACCCCACTGCCTGATGCTTACTGAGTTTAAACAAACAGCTGTGTGTAAAGCAGATCCAGTGAAGCCCATGCTCCTAAGGCTTGGCAACACTTTGTTGGGACATTTTAGAAGTTTGGGATCACAAATTTCTTGTCCATTAGCATTTGCATTCATACTTTAGTAACTCCCAGGCCTTACAGTTCTTCTAGAAGCTAGTGAAAACTCCTATGGAAACTCTGGAAGCCCCGCCCTTTTTCTGTCAAGGAAGTGACATTAATGATCATAACCTCTGGCTGAGAGGCTGTGTGGTCTTCTGCCAGCCAGTCCTCTTCTGCTAGCACTCAAGCTCGCTGAGTTCTAGCCCGCTGCAAAAAGGACTCAATTGTCCTGTTTGCTTTGTGTTGACTAACTTGTAAATAGGAGGAGGAAGCACTGCTCTCTTTGTTCATTTGTGATGTTTATTTTATTTGTGTGTGGGAACAATCCCTGTGAACAAAGAGAATAACTATGTGGAGGTGGCCCTCCTCTCCCATCATGTGGGTTCCCAGGATTGAACTCACATCATCAGGCTTAGTGGCAAGTGCCTTCACCTGCTAAGCTATCTCACTGGCAGGCTCCTCACTGTTTATGACACAGAGTCCCATCGGATAGTCCAGGCTGGCATTGAGCTTAGGATCCTCTCATCTCAGCTTCTGAGTTCATGCAACTCCACCTGGTGTACTTGAACCCAGTTCTCCTGCATTAGATTCTTAACTAAATCTGAGATCTACCATAAACAGCTGAAATGTCAAGACTATTAAATCTGTTGTTTTTCCCCTCCAGGATTTCAATGGACATTCATGTATAGTTTGTCCCTGGCATAAATACAAAATCACTTTGGCAACAGGAGAAGGATTGTACCAGTCTATAAACCCTAAAGACCCATCAGCAAGACCCAAGTGGTGTTCCAAGGGAGTAAAGCAAAGGATTCACACCGTGACGGTGGATAATGGCAATATTTATGTGACGCTTTCTAAGGAACCTTTTAAATGTGACTCTGATTTTTATGCCACTGGAGAGTTCAAAGTAATTCAGAGTTCTTCCTGATAAAAAATATATGGCAGCAAAAAATGTGTGTATGTTTGAAAATATTTTACAGTAATTTTGTTTCAGTAGCAAAGGTGAATTTTTTCCAACATAGGTACTATATATAGCTTTAAAAATCACAGGTTTTGTCAGGGGCTAGAGAGATGGCTAAGAGCTCTTGCTATTCTTCCAGAGGACCTGAGTTTGGCTCCTCACACTCACTGTGACTAAAGCATTGTCTAGTGTTTCACCCATACAGAACGTGTGAGCCACAGCCCAGCAGCACTCTTGGCATAGTGGAGACTATGTTTTAGTAAACATTTGTAATCTATGTGACTTCAGCTCCAGGGAATCTGATGCCCTCTTCTGGCCCCTGTGGACACCAGCACACAGGTCATATACACATAAATCAAAATAGAAGCAAATATTTTTTAAACTCCTAGATTTGGGATGTTTAAAAGCACATTTGCTTTAGTATGACTTCTGGGCCACTCAAAGTTGACAGAATACATTCCATCACACTCTGGATTGATTGGAAGCTGTACATTAGAGGCTCGAGGTGATCAGTTTAGGAAGGACTCACACAGTTGACAACAGATAAAACAGAAAACATAACAGGAAAAGTTTAAGTGGGAAGAGATTCCTTTTAAATACAGCAGATTCTATTTGGGAAAGTTTTCATACATTCAAAGTTAACAGCAGAATGGTCCTCCATCACTTACTTCAGTTCCCAGAGATCCTCTGTTCTTACGTTGCTTTGTCCACAGATCATGTACTTCCTGTGTTTAATTATGGTTTTTACAGTTTTAAAGGTAAAATATAAGCACACTGAGGTCCTCAAATCTTAGTTGTATACTTTTGCTTACAAATGTTTACCAGATGTTTATATGTTAAAATGGCCTCCGGTGAGGCCAATGTGTATGCTGAACTCAAACTTAAAGCTAGGTGTACTGATACACACCTCTAATTCCAGCATTCTGAGGCAGAGGCAGGAGGATCTCTGTGAGTTTGAGGCCAGCCTGGTCTATACAATGAGCTCCAGGTAACCAGCGCTACATAGTGAGACCCTATCAAGAGAGGGAGAGGGAGGGTGCTAGATATCAAAACCAAATAAAACCTGGCTTGACTAGTCTCTTACCAGGGCCATTCCTGAAGTAAAAAAGCCACACACAGTGTCGCCCTAGCAGGACAGAGGCAGTCTCCTAATCAATGCACCAAAGTACTTTGTTTACATGCCACCTTCAAATAAAAGTTTAAAAGAATTTTAGAGAACGTGTGTGTGTGTGTGTGTGTGTGTGTGTGTGTGTGTGTGTGTGTGTGTGTGTACAGTTTCCCATAAATGTTTTGTTCCTCACAGTTTACAAGCAGGTTGATGTTCACTTGGTTTACACTGGTTTTACTATATCAGTTATGTGTGGTCAGTGCTGTTCTGACTGCCTGGGACCCATGTCATGCTTGTTATTCAGGATTTAGAACAACACCCTGGGTGTCTGTCATGCAAAACTTGGCAGTCAGTAAAATGCAGATGTAAGTGGGGCCAGAAAGGATGTGTAGGTAATGAACCCATGGTGAAGACTGTTAAAAATAAAGCTAAGTCTCAAAGCATAGTAATTTTCATGATGTGGGGTGAACTAAGTGTCTAGACCTAGTATTTAGCATTCCGCTGTCCCTGGACTCTTCTCCTTGTTGTGAAAATGAGTGAGGGAGCTGCAGAAATGGCTCTGTGGTTGACAGCATTTGCTGCTCTTCAGAGGGGACTGCAGTTTGGTTCCCAGCTCCCACATCAGTGACACACAAGTGCTTGGACCTTTGTGTGTATTAGTGCATTGCCTTTTCTTTTGGGACGTGGGTTACATGACCAAAGAGATTTGTTACTCATTTCTAAGAATACTACCAAGCCAGGCTTGGACTTTCTCAACAATGTTTACACCAACAGTTACTCACTGGGTTCAGAAAATGTGCCATCTCTGAGGGGAGTTCATACCAGCCTATTATTTCTTGAATACCCACAAAATCTTATCATGTGTTAGAATATAAAGTGCTTGAAAGAAACTAAAATTGTTCCTTTAGGCAAAAATGAATTCAGGTCCTTCATAACTTCACAAGTGACTTATAAAATCAGTAGGGAAACTCAGCTATACTGCCTGCAAATAGGAATAAATATACTTTTTACTATCTCTGAAAGTGTGGCATTTTTAAAAAATATTTATTTGACTTATTTGTTTTATGTGCATTAGTGCAAAGATGTCAGATCCCCTGGAACTGGAATTACAGACAGTTGTGAGTTGTCATGTGGGTATCGGGAATTGAACCGAGGTCCTCTGGAAGAGCAGCCAGTGCTCTTAACTGCTGAACCACCCCTCCAGCCCCAGCATTTTTTTAAATAAAGTTTTTGTCTGCCTGTATGTATGTGCATCACACTTCATCTGGTTCCTGCAGAAGTGAGAAAAGGGCATTCGATCCCCAGGGACTGCAGTGACAGACAGTTGTGAGCTGCCGTGTGGTGCTGAGAACCAAATCTGGGCTCTCCACAAAAACAGCAAGTGCTCTTAACTGCTGAGCCATCTCTCCAGCCTCAAAATGTATAGCTTTTAGTTATGAAATTTTCCTTTCCAGATAAGCATTCTGAACAATTCTCCATTAAAAATATAAATGGATTATGAACACATCCATATTATAAACAGTGTAAAATCTGACACAACAAAATATGAATTCTCTTATTAAAAATATTGTTTAGTCAAGTCAGGGAAGATGACTCAATGGTGTGTTCTGTTCTTCCAGAGGACCTGTGTTTGGTTCCCAGCATCTTTGGTGGCTTCTGGAGTCTTGACACTCTCTTCTGGCCCAGGTAGATATCTGTACATATTCATATGAAAATAAAAATTTAAAAATACTGGGTAGTCATACATACATTGTACATCAAGATTCATTTTATTCTCTATGTTATACAAATACAAGAGAATGATGTCATAGTTTTCCCAGCTCTATCCCATTTTAGAAGAGCATTCAGCATATGTAAACTGGTCTTCTGGTTTTGTCTGATGAAATGTACCCATGGACAGATGACTATTGATCTCTCTGAAGTGGTATTTGTGTCTGAATTTCTCATTCATTCAGTTCGGCTGATTGGTCAAACACAGAATGTAAAACCTGGATCTTGTTGCTCTGCTTGTTGGCAGGAGGCTTGCGGTGAGCTGAAAGGTTGTCTGGCTTCTCCGGCAATGACCTGTAAGGTTTTGCTTTGATTTCACCTTCAGAAAACATCGGCTCTGGAAGCACAGGCTCGGAAAAGGCTTTCCTAAAATTGTCACTCTCTCTATTCTGCCTTATGGATTCTTCTTCTTGAAAAATGTTCTTTATCTTCACCAGCACAGCATTAACACAGACTGCCTGTATCAATAAAAAAAAAAATGTTGAAAAGTAATGTTTCTTTTTAAGGTGATAACAACCATAGACAAAAAGTAACATGTCTAACATAGTCAATAATCTACATATTTTAATTTAAAACACCCTCCCTTTGAAGAAACCCTGACACATGGCAAGCAATAGATTGGAAATGTGTTTAAATAAAACATGCATAAAGATAACCTCAGAAGTGAGAAATGCAACAAGTTTATTCATTCAACTTATTCTGCATTACTAATGACAACGAGTCAATTAGTGAAGGACAAGAGCAAATTCCATGAAGCTAAAGGGAACTAGTTTATCTTACAGAAGAACTGCCTGAAGATGATATGATGGATAGTAAATACTCTGTTTTCTCCCCATTTAGATTTCAAAGCACTGTAATTTTCTAATAGAACCTTTATTACAGTAACATTAATTTATTTTATTGTGGTATTTCCATGCATGTATATATTGTATCTTAATCTCATCCACCCCTCTCTTCATCTTCCACTAGTCCCTTGCCCTTCTCTAGTATTCCTTCCTCTAGTTTGGGTCTCTTGGAAAATCATTCTCATTTCCACACAATGAAACAAAACATACTGTACTTCTCTTTCTGTGTTTTTGTACTGTCTTTATGCTTAACAGGATGACCTTAAGTTTCATTCTTTTAACTTGTTCCAAATGATACAATTTCATCTCAAAGGTTTCATTGATATCATGCCCTTTTTGTCTTACTTCTGTTCATATATTTCATTAAATGTATTTATTTACAAATACAGAACCACCCTAGCATCTCTGAAATGAAACTGATTTAATCATGTTGGATGATGTTTTTTTTTTTTTTTTTTTTTTTTTTTTTTTTTAAAATTTTTTTTATTTATTATGTACACAGTGTTCTGCCTGCATGTGTCCTTGCAGGCCAGAAGAGGGCACCAGATCTCATAGATGGTGGTGAGCCACCATGTGGTTGCTGGGAATTGAACTCAGGACCCCTGGAAGAGTAGCCAGTGCTCTTAACTGCTGAGCCATCTCTCCAGCCCCCGGATGATGTTTTTAATATATATTTCTGAGTTCAGTTTTCAAGAATCCTATTAAGGATTTTTGCATCTAATTAATCAAGGGTTATCAAAGATTACATTGGCCTATAGTCTTCCTTTCCCTCCCTCTTCTTCCTTTCTCATTTTTTATATTTGTAAAACTTGTATTAATGGCTCAAATATGTTTTGAAAAGTAGTATGTTATGTGTTGATTTAAAAAAAGCATGTGTGTTTTACTACTGTTGTATGGAATATTGTGTAGACATTTGTTAACTCCATTGACCTCTAGTGTATTTAACTGTTTCTTTGTTGATATTTGTGTCATGTTGGTGAGAGAAGGGATACTGAAGTCACCCACTATTGTATTGCAGTCTTGTCTCTCCTTGTATGTTGTGTAGTATTTATTGTAAGATTGACCCAACTTTCATTATATATATATATAATTTATGGCCATTATATCACCTCAGTGGATTGTTCTTCTTGTGGTTTGAATGTGAAGCGTTCCCCACAGACTTGTCCCCAAGTGATGGACCTATTTTGGTAATTTTAGTTCCTGGGTACTACCTACAGTAAATATTTCATTGGAGGTACAGTTTAGGGTTCTATCTTGCTCTGTACCCATCTCCTCCCCTGCTTCTTCCACATTAAATGAGCAGCTTCTTCCACCTGCTTCCTCTGTCTTGCCTTTTCTACCTCATGTGCCTTTTGTTTTTCTGAGACATGTCCAACTCTCGAAGTTATTGATTTATCTTTAAAGATATATCCCAGGATATTCTTGTTTGATTTCATATGTGCAAATTTCATTAATTCCTCCTATGACTTACATTTCATGTTGATAGCAGACTTTTATAGTTTCTTAATTCTCATAGTTTAGCTTATGAATGCTTTCCTTTGTATTGTGTGGGGTTTTTTTTTCTGTTTAAAAAAATCACAATCTATACCCAAGGTCATGAGAACATTCTCATCTATTATATTCTAGAAGCTGAATTGTTTTGCTTTTCACTTATAGATTTATAATCTACATGGAATTGGTATAACGTAAGAGAAAAATACTTAGCCAATGGTACCCAGTTGATCTACCCTTACTTACCAGGAAAATCCTTCTTGTATTGCCCTTGTATTGTTTCTTTGTATGTAGGTCTGTTTATAACTCTCTATGTCTAGCTGCTGTGCCTATTATTGGACCAGTTTTGCTCTGTGAATCGCAGGAGCTTCATAACATGTCTTTATAACTGGTAGAGAGAGTTCTGCTAATCTCTAAACAGGGCACATCCTCTGTTTACTTTGGCCTTCTTAAAGTTCTCTTAATTTTTATGATTTTATCATAGTTCTTATACATTTTGTTTACTTTTATCATATTGCAACATACAATTGCATTAAGCTTTCCCCACAATCTATTAACTTAATGCAGTCCAAATTAAAATCCAAACAAGTGTTTGTGCACGTGTGCATGTGTATGTTTGTGTGTGTGCATGCGCGCATGAGTGTGCATGTGTGCATGAGTGTGCATGTATGCATGAGTGTGCATGTGCATAAATTGACTAACTGATTCTAGATTGAGCAGGGAGAGCTGAGAATATAATTCAACTCAGTAATAGAGTTCTTGCCTGTTGTGTATGAAAGCCTTAGGTTTAGTTTCAAGCAAAGCTTAAACCAGGCATAGTTGTGAGAACCTGTAATCCCACCAAACAAGAGGTGGAAAAGGGAGGGTCAAAATTCAAGAGAGTAAGGGAAGCATGCGTGTTGTACTTTATAGTGAGGAACAAGCAAGACAGGCAGGAGAGCAGCCGGAGGCCTCAAACCTTTTGCTCTATCCTTTCAAGAAAGCCAGAGCTGGATCTACCCTCACAAGGACTGCTCCGAACCTTCTGTAGCAAGATGGTGGAATAGAAGTGTCCTTCGCATGACTCTGCAAGTGAGAAGAGTCAGTACAGCTACAGAAAGTAAAAGCAGTGAAGGGGAAACGGAAAGAAAACAGCAAGGCAGAACTCAGAGAAAGGCACAAAGCAATTGGAAACTCCAGTCTTGGCCCCCAGTAGGGCTGCGGGGCTGTTGTGCATGCCAGAATACCCAGTAAGTCAGAGTGCAGAGGATCCCAGTGATACCACCAGACTGTCTTAACAGTGTTGAAACCTGTACGTAGTTCACGCAAGCCTTACTTGTCCAGTGCTGTGATTTGTTCTGAAGGTGACTCATTGCTCACTCTTTCTCAGAGTTTGCCAGGATCCAATGTGAAAGGACACACTTGTAAGGACTAAGCTACTCTGGATTTCAGACTCCACAGAAAGGTCAAAATTCAGAGGCCCTGAGGATTCCACAGCACTGACAAGGTGCAACAGCCAAGGAGAAGGGTGGCTCCGCCAGTCCTTGAAAAGTTTAAGCAGCGGGAAGCGCAAGCTGGGGGGGGGGGGCGCAGTGGTCAGTGGCACCTTCGTCTGTGGGGAGCAGAACACTTGGCTTACTGCGGGCACTCGGTCAGTAGGTAGGTCAGCTGAAAGGTCAGTAGATAGTTTACATCCCACAGGGTTCCCTCTCCCCTTCTATCACCGGTCAGAGGTCAGTAGTCTGCTTCCCATTCTCTATGGAGCATCCAAAGACGCACTTTGACTTGGACGTTTGCTTGGGCATCTGGAGTAAGAAGGCATTCCACTATCAAAGATTGTTGGGATTCATGTGGAACCAAACTTCAAGAGAGGTGTGCCCAGTTAACCCTGTGATCACGGCTGGGGCTATCATGGCTCCTTAGCATGCATACAGAAAGCCTGTGAGGTGAATACTGCTCTGCCACAGACCTATCATTGACCAAGTCAAGTAGAAGATGCATGGCAGGTCAGGGCAGAGCAAAGCTCAGCCTGTGTGCAGCACTAGTCTGTTTTGTGGAAAATGCAGTGACCACAGGCCTCATCTTTGTCCCACTCTCCCCACTTCCCCACCATTTACATTTGGCAGACTACTGTATTAGAGGACGAAGAAAGAAACTGATGCAATCCATGGACCTCAGCTAGGAGGAAGTTTTTAGTGTCCCTCTCTTTATATTATTTTTTTCTTGCTTGTGTCTAATTTTACTTTTCATTTTAACTGGATTGTTAAATTTCTGTCTTTCTACTTCAGCTCTTTAGTTTATTCTATGTCATGTTTGCCTCTTTCTTTCCTATTGTTATTGGCAGTGTCATTGCTGTTCTGTTTATTTGTCTGCTGTTTCTGTGTCCAGAAGATTTGTTTTCCTGTTGTTACTGTGATTATTTTCATCCTTTTAAGTGATGCTTCATATAGAACTGTCAAGGAAAGGCTTCTAGCCAGGCAGTGATGGCACACGCCTTTAATCTCTGCACTCAGGAGGCAGAGGCAGGTAGATCTCTGTGAGTTCAAGGCTAGCCTGGACTACAGAGAAAGTTCCAGGACAGCCGGGGCTACACAGAGAAACCCTGTCTCAAAAAAACAAGAAAGAAGAAAAGACAAGGCTCCTTACTAAGATCCTCACATAATCCTAGAATAGATGTCTAGTCTAATAGATGTGCAAATTTAAATGTAGAAATGCAAGAACTATGGATAAAACAAGGCAACATGACTCCTCTAAAAGTTCATATGTGAATCCAGAGATAATGAGGCATATGAATGCCAAAGAATTCAAAGGACTAAGTTTGAGTAGAATACAAACAAACAACAGATGAAATAAGCAAACTAATATAGGCAATAAGATGAAACTCAGAAAAGGAACCAAACAAACTAGAAAATGGAAAACTCACTCAAGTCTTGCCAATAGACAAGGTCAACTGGAAGGCATAATATCAGAGACTGAAGAAGACAGAGTGAACAAATTAGTACATTCAGGTAGTAGTAAATCAGAAAAAAATTAGTTAGGAACATTGTAAATGATAATTGGGAGCATGATTAGAAGGCTATGTTTATGAATAATCAGTATTGATGAAAGACCCAAGCAATAAAAGACACAGAAGCTTATTCTGTGAAATAACAGCAGAAAAATTCCCATGTGTT